CATCTTGCCTCCCCTCCCAAAGTTTAAATTTTAAGAGACTTTTATTTTAAACTGAGAAATGACTTTTGAGTTAATCCAATGGCCTCCTGGAATACCTCAAGGATTTATTCTCTCTCCTTATAAAAAAGTCTTTAAACTAATTAGGCATAATTAATACACTTGATATTACATAAGAAGCTTGCCAAAAAACAACAAAAATCTATGTTCCATTTGTATGCATATATTATTTATTTATTTTTAGAGAAAGAGGAATGGATAGGGAGAGGGATAGAAATATCAATGAGAGAGAAACATTGATCTACTGCCTACAGCACGGCCCCTACTGGGGATCAAGCCTGCAACCCAGGCATGTGCCCTGATTAGGAATGGAACCAAGAACATCTTGGTTCATGAGTCGATGTTCAATGAGCCACATTGGTTGGGCTGTGTACATATATCATTATTAAAATGACTGTTGTAGAGATTTCAGCCTGCCCTAGGGAGGAACTTGGGAAGATCCAGAGCCAAATTCAAACAGGGAGCTCTCAGGGATTACAGATGTACTGTCAGTGACACATCTGTAATGGCATATTTTACAGACTTAGAATGAACTCTATAAAAAAGAACTCCTTATAAATGACAGAAGTGTAGCTGATCAGAAATAGTATGCCTAAGGAGCACTGATGAAGCCACATCAAAACTGGTAAGAGGAGCAGAGTCAAGGCAAGCCAAGAGTGATGGTTCCCTCAGGTACTTGTGGTGCATACATTTGGAGTGTATGAATTGCTTCCAATGCTCTACACACACTTTCAATAAGCCATGTGCAGCATTTCACTATTTTTTAAACTAGAGGCCAGATGCACAAAAATTTGTGCACTCGGGAGGTGGTCCCTCAGCCCAGCCTGTGCCCTCTTGCAGTCTGGGACCCCTCGGGGGATAACCACCTGCTGGCTTAGGCCCGCTCCCCAGGGGATTGGGCCTAAGCTGGCAGTCAGACATCCCTCTGGCAGCCCGGGAGACCTCAGGGGATGCCCACTTGCCAGCGGGGAGCAGAACTAAGCTGCAGTCAGACATCCTTAGCGCTGCTGAGGAGGCAGGAGAGGCTCCCACCACCACCGCTGTACTGGCAGCATTCAGCCTGGCTTGTGACTGAGCAGAGCTCCCCCTGTGGGAGTGCACTGACCACCAGGGGGCAGCTCCTGCATTGAGTGTCTGCCCCCTGGTGGTCAGTGTGTGTCATAGTGACCAGTCATTCCCAGTCGTTCTGCTGTTAGGGTCAATTTGCATATTACCCTTTTATAATATAGGATAGAGGCCTGGTGCATGGGTGGGGGCCAGCTGGTTTTCCCTGATGGGTGTCCCGAATCAGGGTGGGGGTCCTGCTGGGGTGCCTGGCCAGCTTGGGTGAGGGCTGAGGGCCGTTTTCAGAATGGCCACACCCCCTTCAAGGTGGGGGTCCCCGCTGGAGTGCCTGGCCAGCCTGGGTGAGGGACTGATGGCCGTTTGCAGGCTGGCCACAGCCCCTTCAGGGTGGGGGTCTCTTCTGGGGTGCCTGGCAAGCCTGGGTGAGGGGCTGATGGCCGTTTTCAGGCTGGCCATTCCCACTTACTGGAAGCAGTTATCTGGGATTTATTTAACTTTTATAATTGAAGCTTTGTAGCCTTGGTCCCAGCCCCTCCTTGAGTGGAGGTCAAGCCAGCTGGAAGCAGGTATCTGGGATTTATTTATCTTCTATAATTTAAGGGTTGCGGGAAACGAGTTAAGTCGGCTCGCGTGAATTGCGCGTACTCCGCGGGAGCCGTCTTAAACTCGGTTCATATAGATTTGCGGTGGAGTGCGGGAAACGTGTAAACTCGGGCCGATTGTAACTGCGTATTACCAAATATTTCATTTCAATCGAACCCATACTTCAAAAGATATAGGCATTTTAACGCGCCATCTTATATTTTGGCGGGAAATTCACCCGACACCGAAGTGTTAAACTTTGTAGCCTTGAACGGAGCCCAGGCTGGCCAGGGAAGGTGGGAAGCTTGGCTTCCTCCACTGCCGGGGCAACCCAAGCCTCCTGTTCACTCCAGCTCCGTGGCCGCCACCATCTTTGTGATGGAGTGAGAGAGTGACGGAGTGACAGTTAATTTGCATATTACTCTTTTATTAGATAGGATAAGCTATGGTACATATTTTTTCTGGATATATCTACTTTAAAGGAACTATTTTGGGCAAATGCCTCCAAGAACACCTTCATAATATTTCTCCTGGTAAAATTATATATGAATCTAATCTAGATAAATATTGTATAGCTATAGCAATAAGTGATAAAAATCTAAGTAAAGTACCTGGATATTATGGGAAAAGACTTGCAGTGACTTGACTGATCTGTCATAGTATATCATGTCCTTGGACTCACCAGCCATGCTCTTATGTCTAGATGTCTGTGAAATAAGAAAAAAAATCAATGGTTCCCTTTCAGAAATTATTAGACTTACTTTGTAGATATGTCTGTAACTAACCCACACTCCTTGCATCCTGGAGACTTGTGGGAAGCCCTATGGAATACTCAAACTCTAACTTATTTTAGGGTTACCTCTACACTATGGCATGGTAAATCAAAATTTGGTGGTCCATTCAATATATCCCAACTCCTCTGTAGTCATAGCTATAGCTACCCAATAACAACAGTATTCCTGGTTGGCCCTCTAAAAAAATAAAAGGAGAATAGTTGGAGGATTAGGTGTGGCCTTGGTATTCTGGGACAAGCTGAACTTGCAGTTAATGAAGAATATCACTTATTAGAAATAGACTCTTTCTCTAAAATAAGTCTTATAGAGGGAATGCTGTTTTAAGTAGAAGGTAGAGGGTGGGAAGCAACAAGGAAAGACATTGAGGCTTTAGCTCAGTGGATATAACAGTCTTAACAGAGTATAAAAACTCATGCACAAAGCCAACAATGGGAATGCACCTATAACCTAACTCAACAGGGCCTGTTGTCTATGCTAATGCAAAGGGAATCTGAAGTAGCTATGAGACAATGGCCAACTATAATCAGTGCAGAAGCCCAGGTAACACATTCATGGGACTCATATGGTTCCCCTGGATTAAAAAAAAAATTTGAATGGAAAATATGATCTACAATGTTGTGTCTTAAAAGCCCAGTTATATCCTACACTTAAATTCTCAGTAGTTCAACTGGATGTTATAGGGACCATCCTGAATAACACTACTTCCCATTGGAAGTAGATAAGTCATATTTTAAAATAATAAACAATGGGAACCCATCTCACTATATGATTGTGAAAATTAAAAAGGTGAATGATTATGCCCCCAATCTACATGGAATACTAAAGTCTTCCAATCCTGGCCCATTGTATATACCCCAAGAAATACCAACATATGGTACATAGGAAAGGGGCATTTTTGTTGGGAAAGGTTAGCAAAATCTTCTGTATTACTAAGTGATTTTTATTGTAATATCACCAAGTTTACATAAAATACTATGGGAATATGGTGTAATACTGAAATTATAGGCAAAATACCTTTGCCTGAGGTTAATAAAACCTATAGTAATATTGATACTGAAAATCCAATCTCGTTTATATGGAAACTAATGGGCCAGGAGAAAAATTAGAGCTTCTGGCTAATGAAATAGTAGAGAGTCTTAATTCATCTGGCCAAACATATCATAACGTACAAGTGACAGTGGACAAAGGAAAAAAGCATATTTTTAGCTTAATAAAAATTATGATAATACATGTAAAGGGTTCTTCAGTTGGCCAGGATGCTTGATCCCCTCAGACTCTTTCTTGTCTAGTATTAGACATTTTCTGCACCTAATCAGTGTTACTGCTTCAATATTGTTGCTTTTGTTCCTGGTATGTAAATGTTATACTAGATGCAAAAAAACAAAACTTGACAAGCAGCAAAAAGACTCAGATCATGGTAACTCAAAGATTAGCCAGAGTACTTTTTAACAAGGACATATAGGATATAGGATCTGACTGCCTCCTATGCACCTGCCTTTTTAAAAATAATAATAATAATCCGACCTTGAATGCCATCTAAGGTTATGGTCTTGCCCCATCCCCAGCAGTCCACCCTGTTCAGTGAAAGGGCGAGGGCTATGCCCTCCATCTTGCCTGTATCCTCCATGTTGGGGCCACATGCGGCCTTCTTCCCGGAAGCCCAGGCCTCTGCTGGCTACGCCCGGGATTTTAAACTAACCAATGACAATCAAGGGAAGTGCACGCCATCGCTATGACCACATCCTGTGTAATGGGTCACCAGCTCGCACCTGGCCAATCGGCGGGGGGCACAGCCCCCTCTCCCGCCCCTACTCCAACCCTCTATAAAACCCCTGGTTTGAGCAGACTGCTTTCTCTTTGCCACCTGCTGCTGCGTCAGTAAGGAAGGTAGAAGAGCTAAGCCCGGGCTTAAAATAAAAGACTCTTTGCTTTTGCATCGGAGTGGCTGGCTCCCTGGTGGCTTCTTGGGAATCTTGAAATCTGGGCATAACATTTGGGGGCTCGCCCGGGGTTCCCAAGACCATTGAGGGACTCCCCATCCGTGAGTCTGACTGACCGCGGTAGGTGTCTGTGTCGTGTGTCTGTGTCGTTGTGTGATCTGTGTGAGCTCGTTTCTGGAATCTAAGTGCCTGAGGGGTCTGGCGGACGCGCCGTGAACGACCACAGGCCGGGGAGAGTTAGAAGACGTTCTGCTCCCCACGAGGAATGTGTATTTCTCCTCACGGATATGAGAGATGTGTATTCCTCTCATGAGAGATGTGTATTCCTCTCGCGGATTTGAGACGAAGCGGGTAGCTCCCGCCGGTTTGGCATAAGGCCATTGTCTAGCTTTCGGGTTTGGCTTCCATGGAATTGGAAGCCTGTTTTGGTTCTGCGTCCATGGAGTTGGAAGACTGTATTTCTGGGCCCGTTTGTTGTTTGTGTTTGTGTTTTCTCGGTTTTATTTTGTGGACTTACTGGACGGATGTTATGGGACAGACTCAAATTACTCCTTTAAGCATTATGGTCGACCATTTTAAAGAGGTAAGGGAAAGAGCCAGCGACCTCAGTGCGGAGGTTCGGAAGGACCGGTGGCAGACTTTTTGTTCCAGGGAGTGGCCGACCTTTGACGTCGGGTGGCCGCCGGAGGGGACTTTCGACCTCCCCACCATCCGCCGGGTCAGGGATGTCGTCTCCCGACTTAGGGGGGGACATCCTGGTCAACTCTCTTACATTGTTACTTGGCAGGACCTCGTGGAAGACCCGTCATCTTGGCTCAGGCCCTTCCTACCTCCACGTTCTCCTGGGCCGAAGCCCATTCTTGCCTTGCAGAGAACGGAAAAGGAGGAGAAAAAGAAGAATCTCACCCAGCCTTCAGCCCCCCTGCACCCTGTCCTGCAAGGGGGGACTGAAGAAGAACTAATCTTTCCTCCCCCATATAGCCCATGGGGGGGCGATCCTTCCACGCCAGGAGTGGCTGGGGGCGGAGTTCTGGGAGTGGCCGCGATTCCGGTAGGAGGCCCGCCTCTCACCCAGCAGAGAGCTCAGCGGGAACTGTCTGCTGCAGCACCCGACTCCACCATCAAGACCCTGCCCTTACGGGCCGCTGGACCCCCGGATGCGGACGGCAACCAGCCCCATCACTACTGGCCTTTCTCAACATGTGATCTCTATAACTGGAGGGCACAAAACCCTAAGTTTTCTGAAAAGCCGGGGGGGCTTATTGACTTGCTAGATTCTGTTCTTTTCACCCATCAGCCCACATGGGACGACTGTCAGCAGCTTTTACAGGTTCTGTTCATGACGGAAGAGAGAGAAAGGATCCTCAATGAGGCCCGGAAAGTGGTTCCAGGCGTGGACGGAAACCCAACTGCCAACCAGGTCCAAATAGATGTCTCTTTTCCCTTAACTAGGCCTGAATGGGATTTCAACACGGCAGAGGGTAAGGAGAGGCTTTCGGTCTACCGTCAGACCCTAATGAAGGGTCTCAGAATGGCTGCTAGAAAGCCAACTAATTTGGCCAAGGTGGGGAATGTTCAGCAGGAAAGGGATGAGTCTCCAGCTGCCTTTTTAGAACGGATCATGGAGGCTTACCGCACCTACACCCCCATGAATCCAGAAGCTCCTGAAAACAAGGCAGCTGTGATCATAAGCTTTGTAAACCAATCGGCCGCAGATATTAAAAGGAAACTACAAAAAGTAGATAGGTTGGGAGAGAAGAGTTTACAGGATTTACTGGCAGTGGCAGAGAAGGTGTACAATAACCGAGAGTCTCCAGAAGACAGGCAGGCTCGCGTCGTGGCTGCCACTAGCAGTAGGCAAACTCGGGACCTGGCTAGAGTACTGCTGGCTACGACCATGGACTCCCCCAAGGAGCGAGACTGTCGCCTCCGACAGCTTGCAAGCAATAAAGGAAGAGGTAAGCAGACCACCCGAGAAGGGAGGCGGGGGCTTCGGAAGGATCAGTGTAGATTTTGCATGGGAATAGGGCACTGGGCTCGAGAGTGTCCGGAGAATGTCGGTGAGAAGGGAGACAGGACCGACCGAGTTAAGGTCTTAGAACTGGGTGAACTGAGTGATTAGGGGAGTCAGGGTTCGGACCCCCTCCCCGAGCCCAGGATAACTCTCAGAGTGGAGGGGACTCCTGTTAACTTCCTTGTTGACACCGGGGCACAACATTCGGTCCTCCGCACCCCGCAAGGAAAACTGGCAAACAGAAAGTCCTGGGTGCAAGGGGCAACTGGTATAAGCCAGTATTCATGGACTACCCGAAGAACAGTAGATTTAGGAACGGGCCGGGTATCCCACTCTTTCATGGTGATACCGGAATGCCCCTACCCACTATTGGGACGGGACCTACTGACCAAAATTGGAGCTCAGATAACTTTCAGACAAGGGGGGCCTCAGGTCACCGATGGGGAGGGCCGCCCCATTCAGGTCCTGACCATGAGGCTAGAGGATGAGTATCGCCTCTACCAGAAGGCTTCCCCAGTAGAGGGCAGTATGGACAAATGGCTACAAGAATTCCCAACAGCTTGGGCAGAGACAGGGGGGGTGGGGCTGGCCGCCCACAGGGCCCCAGTCCTGGTAGAACTAAAACCAGGAGAAGGTCCAGTAAGAATCAAGCAGTACCCCATGCCTCAGGAGGCACGGAAGGGAATTCAGCCTCATATCAGGAGACTGAAGAGCTTGGGGGTGTTAGTCCCCTGCCAGTCTGAGTGGAACACTCCCCTACTGCTGGTTAAAAAGCCACAGACAAACGACTACAGGCCAGTACAGGACCTCCGAGAAGTAAATAAAAGAGTTATGGACATACACCCAACAGTCCCAAACCCGTACACTCTCTTGAGCTCCTTGGCGCCCTCTAAAGTCTGGTACACGGTATTAGATCTGAAAGATGCCTTCTTCAGTCTACCGCTAGCACCTCAAAGTCAGCCCCTGTTCGCCTTCGAGTGGCATGACCCAGAGGAGGGCTTCAGTGGACAGCTGACCTGGACACGCCTACCCCAGGGGTTCAAAAACTCGCCCACCATCTTCGACGAGGCACTGCACGAGGACCTGGGTGAGTACAGAAGGGAACACCCCAACCTGACCCTCCTCCAGTACGTAGATGACATCCTGATTGCTGCCGACACAGCCAAGGACTGTGAGCGGGGGACCCAAGATCTATTGGCCACCCTGGGGGCCTTAGGGTACCGGGCATCCGCGAGGAAAGCTCAGTTATGCCGAGAAAGGGTGAGTTACCTGGGATACATCCTAGAGGGCGGGCAGCGGCGGTTATCGGATGCCAGAAAAGAGACTGTTTTGAAAATCCCTACTCCCACCTCTCGAAGAGAAGTGAGGGAATTCCTAGGATCGGCCGGCTACTGCCGCCTCTGGATACCGGGTTTTGCCGAAATCGCCAGGCCCCTATACGAAGCTACGAAAGAGGGAAGGGCGTTTGACTGGACTGAGACAGATGAAGCTGCCTTTAGGCAGTTGAAGAAAGCCCTTCTAGGTGCTCCAGCCCTGGGCCTGCCAGATATTACGAAGCCCTTTCATCTCTTTGTAGATGAACACAAAGGGATAGGGAAAGGGGTCTTGACTCAAGCTTTAGGCCCCTGGAACCGCCCAGTGGCTTACTTGTCCAAGAAGTTAGATCCTGTAGCTGCCGGCTGGCCACCGTGCTTGAGAATTATCGCGGCAACCGCGCTCTTAGTCAAAGACGCTGACAAATTGACCCTGGGGCAGGAAATCAGGATTACAACCCCACATGCCATTGAGGGAGTCCTGAAGCAGCCTCCCGATAGATGGATGAGTAACGCACGTATAACCCATTACCAGAGCCTCCTACTCAACCCTCCAAGAGTGCGGTTCCACCCCAGTGCAGCCCTCAATCCTGCTACTTTGCTGCCCGACCCTGACTTAGATGCCCCACTACACGACTGTGCGGGAATCCTAGAGCAAGTGCATGGACTCCGGAAGGACTTGACCGACCAGCCCCTCCCTGATGCAGAGGCCACCTGGTTCACGGATGGAAGCAGCTTCGTGCGAGACGGGTGCAGGTACGCGGGTGCAGCGGTGGTCACTGAAACGGACACTGTGTGGGCAGAGGCCCTGCCCCCCGGGACGTCAGCCCAGCGAGCAGAACTCATCGCCCTTATTAAGGCACTGACGCTGGGGGCTGGGAAGCGGCTTAACGTTTATACAGACAGCCGTTATGCATTTGCTACAGCTCATGTCCACGGGGCAATCTATCAGGAGAGAGGGCTGCTGACAGCAGAGGGACGGACAATAAAAAATAAGCAGGAGATTCTCGATCTGCTTGCGGCCTTATGGCTTCCTGCCAAGTTAGCCATAATCCACTGCCAGGGGCACCAGAAAGCCGATGACCCGGTAGCAAGAGGTAACCAAAAGGCTGACCAGGCTGCGAAGGCAGTAGCCCTTACCTCGGTCCCTACCATGGCCTTACAACTCCCAGACCCGGGGGACCCAGTCTTACCAGACCAGCCCGAGTACTCCCAGGAAGAATTGCAACGTATCAGAAAGCTCCCCAGAGCCCAGGAAATAAAGGGATGGTGGTATACACCAGAAGGGGAACTTATACTGCCAGACCGGCTCCGGGACTCGGTATTAGAACATATGCACGGGTCCACTCACCTGGGAACCCGGAAAATGAAGGACTTAGTCCGACGTGCCGGGATCAAGATTCACCAGCAGAATACCAAGATAAATCAGGTTGTGTCTGCCTGCAAGACCTGTCAACTCACGAACACAAGAGTCGGATCAAACGAAAAAGGGACCAGGCTCAGAGGCATCAAACCAGGAGCACAATGGGAGGTCGACTTCACTGAAATTAAACCAGGGAAGTATGGTTATAAATACCTTTTAGTTTTTATAGATACCTTCTCTGGCTGGGTAGAGGCATACCCAACCAAGCATGAAACAGCTCAGACGGTGGCCAAGAAGCTGCTGGAAGACATCTTACCCAGGTATGGTTTTCCTGCTATGATAGGGTCCGACAACGGGCCAGCCTTTATTTCACAGGTAACACAGGTAGTAACCAGGGCTATTGGGGCAAATTGGAAATTACATTGTGCTTATAGGCCCCAGAGTTCAGGTCAGGTAGAAAGGATGAACAGAACTTTAAAAGAGACCCTTACCAAATTAACCATGGAGACTGGCGGGGACTGGGTGGCACTCCTACCGTATGCCCTTTACCGGGTAAGGAACTCCCCATACACCCTGGGCTTTACTCCCTATGAAATCATGTTTGGCAGGCCACCCCCTATCATTCCTAACCTTAAAGCTGACCTTCTTGCTGAATTTGAAAATCAAGATCTATCTCTTTCCTTGAGAGGGCTTCAGAAGGCGCATGAGGACATTTGGCCGCGCCTCCGCGCCATCTACGAAACCAGCCCAACCCCAACTCCTCATCAACACAGACCAGGAGATTGGGTCTACGTCAGAAGGCGTCACCGAGAAACCCTTGAGCCACGTTGGAAGGGTCCCTACACCGTGGTGCTGACGACCCCCACCGCTCTCAAGGTAGATGGCGTTGCAACCTGGGTCCATCACACTCACGTCCGGTCAGCGGATCCATCCATGACCCAGAAGGACTGCATCACCAAATGGAGCATCGATCAAGATCAACGCAACCCGCTCAAGCTCAAGCTACGGCGTGCTTGACCTGCCTGATGCTGGTAACATGACTCGCGATCACTCCTGTTACCAGGAGCCCACACAATACTGTGTAATATAATGCCTGCATCTTCATGGACATGGCTCCAAAGAGACAAGGACAATTTATAGGATCACATGTTTAGTGGCAGAAGATGTGAAACAGCCATGATACCAGTATTATGTCATATTAACCTTTGATTCTTTTGCAGGTTTGAACATATGTTGGCTGTCCTGGAAGGGTACTATGTGGGGTGAACCCCAAAAAGTAAAGGGTGCCTAGCTGCCAAGAGGGCAGGTGCCCACCTGGGCAGGGAACGGTGCCCATCAGGTTTTGGTCTCTGTTGAGAGACAGCTAACACTTGGCAGCCTGCAATACTGTCTTGCAGGCCTGAGTCATCATGCCCATGTCAGGGGTAGTAAAGCTGGCATGTTAGAATAGAAGGTCTGAGGCATGGTTATGCATAGAAAGAAGGTTTTATACCAACAGTTAGATCAGTATGTTTTTCTCCTTACGTAATTCCTCCGAAAATCTGGCAATACGTGAAGGGATTTATTCCCTCCTGGGAAGGCACTTAAGCATCCTGTATTGCCAAGAGGATCCCAATTGTCTACAGCTGTTGTCTGAGCTCTCCGTTCAAGCTGGGTTCATGAAAAGCTGGTACCATGGATCTGTCTCTTGCCCAATGGCGTAAGCTGGGTCCTCTCTGGAGAAGAAACCTGGGTTCCCCAAGATATGTGATCAATGCCGGGGCCCGCCAGCAGGCGAGGGGATCCCTAGGCAATTGCTGGGCATGGAGGCCACAGGGGCATAGGCTACCAAGGAGACAGAACTGAACCTCACATCACCCTGCTTGGCCCCGGAGCTTGGCTGGTTAGTCAAAGACGGGTAAGATTCCTCAGGGAGGAACAACCTAAGACAGGCACAGTCACAGAGGGGCCAGCAGAAGAGAACTTGGGGTTCAACAGAGGTGGGGCACAGATCCTCACCCCCCCAATGGTGCAGAGGCTTGAACACTCGCCCCTTCTGAGGAAGGTCTCCTGTCCCCATGGCTACTTTTTGCTTCCCATGCCCAGCCAGACCAGGAACCAAATAACAGAAGAGACTTGGTCCAGCTGAAAATGGTACCCAGAAAAATGGAGGCTTAGTTTAACAGACTCCAAATTTAAACCTAGCCTAACAAACAGGAATGCTTGAGCCTCCTCAAGGAATCTTGATTTGGCTTCTTGATAGCCCTGGAGGAATTTTAAGAAGAAAAATCCTATTTCAATAGAATTTGTTAAATCTGAAATGGTTTCTTTCCCTTCCACTGAACCATTTGTTAAGCTTATAGGGATAGTTCAGTTGATAGTTCTGGTAGAATAGAAATGCAGTCCGTCTCATGATTGAGCCGGAAGTTCCAAGACAAAGGGGGGAATGAAAGGGCGAGGGCTATGCCCTCCATCTTGCCTGTATCCTCCATGTTGGGGCCACATGCAGCCTTCTTCCCGGAAGCCCAGGCCTCTGCTGGCTACGCCCGGGATTTTAAACTAACCAATGACAATCAAGGGAAGTGCACGCCATCGCTATGACCACATCCTGTGTAATGGGTCACCAGCTCGCACCTGGCCAATCGGCGGGGGGCACAGCCCCCTCTCCCGCCCCTACTCCAACCCTCTATAAAACCCCTGGTTTGAGCAGACTGCTTTCTCTTTGCCACCTGCTGCTGCGTCAGTAAGGAAGGTAGAAGAGCTAAGCCCGGGCTTAAAATAAAAGACTCTTTGCTTTTGCATCGGACTGGCTGGCTCCCTGGTGGCTTCTTGGGAATCTTGAAATCTGGGCATAACATTCAGCAAGACAAATACCGGCTCTGAGTCATCATGGGAATGAGCCTTCTTAGCATTGGTCATCAATGCATCATTTGGATTGATTTATAACCAAAAGGGGGACTATGGACAAAAAGAGGCCACATACTAAACCTGATAAGCTTAGGGGAGGCTTGTGTGGTGGCCTTATAAACTCAGAGACCTAAAGTAACCACATAAGTTGATCTGACATTAAAACTTTTAAACTGAAAGCAGTTTAAGGCAGGCAGTCTTATCCTAGGCTAGGATCTTCCCTGACTAAAGTCAATTTTACCTTAATTGAGCCCATAGATTTTCTTTTGCATCTAAGATAACAGAGCTTTGGAATATCAAGGTAACTTGACCTTTTCTGGACCCCTCGGGGCACAACAACCACACCAGAGCAGACACCACAATCTTTTCATTGTTATTGTTACCATGTTTTTGAATGTTTACTATCCTGTACCCACCTTTGCAAAAGATGTATATGTTTATCATTTTACTTTTTATTGAATTACAGAGGTTTCCCCTGTTTCCTTTCTCCTGCCTCCCTAATCTATCACCAATGGATTTTATGTAACACACCCCTCCTCTTTTGATTGTAATACATAAAATAAGGTACACAACTGCCATTCTCTGGAGCATTTTCTTAATCCTTTGCGATTTCCTTCCCAGCAATAGTCATCAGTTTGGCTCAAATAAGCTCATAAAACTTCTCTACATGATTGAACATTTCTTACGTTCACAAATGTGTGACTTGATGGTAAGACAGTGAGCTGTTTACCCAGGGCAACCCCTGACTAGAGGAAGAATGGAGAGTAGGTGCCTGAGTGAGGGTTAACTCTCTCTAGGAATGTTAGAGAATTATGTGAACAGGAATCTAAACAGATCATTATACAATCAAGCAATTTTCACATTCAAATTCCAGTTTAATATAGTAATAGTCAAAGGCAGGGAGTCTTTCCTTTAAATTAAATCAGTAAGAAACTACTAACTGCAAAGATAGCATCTAAAGTCCCTATATAATTTACAATTAAAAGTAAGATAGATTTCCCATACTGAGGTTTACAAAAATGAGCAGGAGACCTGATCTGGTAGGTCATTTGCATTAAAAGGTAGTATTTATTATTTTATTCTATTATAAAAATAATTCATGCTAGACACAAGATATTTGAAATATTCAAAAAAACTTTACCAACAAAACAAAATTACTCTAATCTCATTATGTAAACATAACCCCCATTAACATTATGGTTCATGTCCTTCCAAAAAATTATTTTTAATGAGCACTAATGCACATGTTTGAAAACCTCCCATTTCTATGAGAGATCACAATTCCCTGAAACTCTGTGTTTGGGAGGCCAGGGTTCTATCATTAAGCTCTTGACACCCCTGCCCATTTTGCCCAAATGGCTATTAAAACAAGCCTTTGTTTCACTAATGATTATTTAAAAAATTCACTTCCCATAAAGTGGCTGAGCTATCAAAGCTTCTCCTGTTTACAAGCCTTTTCAGAGTTGACTAAAAACTTTACCTATTAGAACATCAAGGTCTTTTTAATCAACAAGGCCAATTGCAAAATCCTCTTCTAATAATTTTTGCAAGCCATTATTGAAATAGATATAAACAACTTTTTTAGCCACATGAGGCCTAAAAAAGGGACATAATCCTTTCAATCACCAAATCTTAATGGGCTTTTTTGGTAAAGACTATTTTCAATAAAAGCTTCTAGATTTTTATTATTATTATTATTTTTTAACAGAGAAAGAACCAGGGAGAAAATTACTTGTAGAATTTAGTCAAGTTCCATTAGTTAATTTTTACTAGAAATTAAATAAGAATGAAAAGTTGGTTCAACACAAGAGATGAAAAAAAATAACCCTACTGTAGGTATTATGTGAGTTTCAGAAAAGATCTCAATATCCAGCAATGTAAAAGGATAAATTTATTGTTGTTCAAGATAAAGACAAATCAAGAAATTCTGGTGTCATATCTAAGAGAAATATTTCAGATTAGTGGAAAAAACATTTTTTTTTCTTCTGGGTGCCCTCTGTGTCCCCACCTGTTACTGGTGGAAGTGGAATTCTTGCAAAGCCACAAGGACAGGAATTTCCTGAGACTTGCATGAGATGAGTAATCTTTATTTCCATGGAATTAAACCCCTGAGTTTTCTTTTTTCTTTTTTTTTTAATATATTTTATTGATTTTTCACAGAGAGGAAGAGAGAGGGATAGAGAGTTAGAAACATTGATCAGCTGCCTCTTGCACACCTCCTACTGGGGATGTGCCCGCAACCAAGGTACATGCCTTCGGCCGGAATCGAATCTGGGACCTTTCAGTCCGCAGGCCGATGCTCTATCCACTGAGCCAAACCGGTCAGGGCAAACCCCTGAGTTTTCAATGTCCTATTTCCCTCTGTCTCGCTATGGTAAAAGTCCAATGTTGTCTTTAGCAGAGCTAGGATTAAAGCCACAGCCCAGAGTATCCACTCCATATTAAAGTCCAGTCCAGGCCAGAATGAGACTAGGTTAGTTTGGGTTCCCAGCTGCAGTCCATTGTGTGTGAGATACACATAGCCATGGGCCATGTGGCTGCTTAAGGCCACATGGCAGGCTGGTACACGGGCAAATGTGGGTCACATAGCAAGTGAGAAACAGGAGCCCATAAGTACAAGAGAGATATAACTCTGTCTTGGGATTATAACTAGGAGCTTAACCAATTTACCCTTCAGGACATCACATTCTTGCAAGTGGCTCTACCTCCTAGCCAACTGTCTTTTCCTCAGACAGCCGTGGGCAAACAACGGCCCGCGGGCCAGATCCGGCCCTTTTGAAATGAATAAAACTAAAAAAAAAAAAAAGACCGTACCCTTTTATGTAATGATGTTTACTTTGAATTTATATTAGTTCACACAAACACTCCATCCATGCTTTTGTTCCGGCCCTCCGGTCCAGTTTAAGAACCCATTGTGGCCCTCGAGTCAAAAAGTTTGCCCACCCCTGGCATTAGACTGATGGTCAAGTGCCTTTCCTGAATCACCCGGACTTCATTGCACATGCATCCATTTCCTCCTTTGTTTGATTCCTCACCTCAGTGATTTACAGGGAATGGAACTCTGGTTCCTGTTAGGGTTGCTGAAAGAGGAACGCACAAGGCCAAAAGTGGCAAAGAGTTATAAATGTTTTACATCATCTGGAAACCAGAGGGGCTGAGCCCCCAAATGGTGTCAGTACCAGGGGCTGGGGAGTCAGAAGTTTTGAAGGACTCTAGGCGGGCTTTTTCAGTTGGGAATTCTCTGGGTGGGTCCGGATCCTGGGCAAGTCTGGAGGGGAAAGTTACTGGTCTTAGCAAATGGAATGTGGTCTAAGCGAAAGGGAATGTCTGTTACGAAATGATGTAAAGGTCAGTTTCTC